AAAATGTTTGTATGGGTAAAATTTGAAGAGAGTTTTATACTTATTTCGGATTTTAGAACCGTTTTGGTTATTCAAAACTTTGACCCTTTGTGGGGGATGAACTAGAATAAATAGTCCGATCTCTACCATCTTTATAACAGATCTTGTGTTGATGGAAATATTAAGATGTACCAAGTCTGAATGGAATCGAATGTTGATTTCGCGTGTTTTGCGAATTTTCAAAATTTTAACCCTTTGTAGGGGAGGTATCAGAGGGAGTGGACCGATATATCCCATCTTTGCAGAAGATCTTGTGTTAGAAATAATGGGATGTGTGAAATATGAATGCTTATTTCGGATTTTATAATCATTTTGGTTATTCAAAATGTTGACCCTTTGTGAGGGAGGTACCAGAAGGAGGGATATTCCATTTTCCCACCAGATCATGGTTTTATAAAAATATTGTGATGTGAGTAATTTGAAGACAATCGGAATCTTTCATCATATTTTATATGAGCTAAAATTATTCAAAATGTTGACCCTTTTTTGGGTACTTAATGGAGTCGACCGATATTGTCCATTTTCAGACCTAACCTAGCACTGATGAAAATATTAAGGTTCGCAAAGTTGGAGAAAAATGAGATTATCCTTTCTCATACTGTGCAGTTTTTTTTTTTTTTTTTTTTTTTTTTTTTGAAAATTTCGACCATTTGTGGGGGATGTACCAGAAGGAGTAGACCGATATTGCCTATCTGCGAACTCGATCTATGTTTGGCAATAATATTACGATGTACCAAGTTTGAATCAAATCGGATACTCTCATTGAGAGTTCTTGTGCGCACCAGCCAAACAGACAAACGGACGGACATCGCTTCAGATCGATTCCAAATGTCCTGAAACGGATTTGGTCCAAAGAGACCTAGGGCCTAAAACCTTTATTTCAATGATGCATGTTTTGACCGTATCAAACGATATATACCCTTTCTAGTCATATGGCTTAGGGTATAAAAAACATATGGATATTGAGATTTTATTAAGCTATTAGATCCTACTAAGATATATGTTTAAATAAAATATTCCCTAAGATCTGCTTTAAGTGACTTCACCAACTTTTTCTCACAATTTCTATAAAACCCAAAGACTTTTTTAGTGACTTAATATTTGTCATTTCCAAACTAATTAAAACCCCCAAAAATGTCAACTTTGATGTATGGCCCTGAGTTTCGCCTGCCGCAAAAAAAAGACGTTGTGGTGAACCCTTCGCTTCGCTTTTAGAATGTCAAACTTAATTTATTTGCTAATTTTCGTTGTTTTTTTTGTCCACTTTTTGACGCAGAAGTGTTGAAACTATCCGTCCATACTTCCACATTCCATTGCAGTTGGTTGATATTTTTTTCAAACATTTCGAGTTCGAGTTTCTTTTTTGCATGCAGAGAATTTTTTTCTACAACTTGCAGAAAAAAGAATAATTACATGACCAAACCTTTTGTAGAATTTATAGCCATAAATTACTTAACATTTAAGTTGCGATGGCAGTTAACACAAGAAAGTATATCTAAATATGGCAATGTGTGTGTCTGTGTGTATTGGAAAGAGAGAGCAGTGGAGTTGAAAAATGTTTGTAGTTCTTGAGTGTAAATTTGATTCGAATATTTAATTCTTGAAGCGGAATTTTATTCAACCATAGGGAAATTTAATTTTTTTTAAAGGATCTAAAAAAACTTAAGGGCATTTTCTTTTCGAAGGATTATTTTCCAAGAAATTTATTCATTTTTGGTCCAATGAAAAAAATAATTGATGGAGGTAGAATTCAAAAAAAAAGTTCCTTTTTGTGGAATTTTTTAGGGACATCAATTTCACCTTCTAAGTGAATTTTTATTCCCTCAGTCATATGCCTACAGATGGTATATATATCATTTGATAGGCCAAATCGTGCCTCATCGAAATAATGGTTGTAGACCCTAGGTCTCTTTGGACCAAATCCGTTTCAGGACATTTGGAGTCGATCTAGCGATGTCCTCAGTTTGTCTGTCTGGCTGGCTGGGGCAAACGATACCTCTCGAAGGGAGTATTCGATTTGATCCAAACTTGGAACATCGTAATATTATTGTCAAATTTAGATCGAGTTCGGAGATGAGTAATATCGGTCCTTCTTCTTCTGGTACATCTCACACAAAATGTCAACATTTTCGAAGAAAATATTTGACTGCACAGAAAGTGAAGTATAAACCTATTTTGCTCCAACTTTGCAAATCCTAATATTTGCATAAGGCAGAAAATTGTCTGAGCAGGGCCACGTCTTCGTCTAGCCCCCATATAAGGGTACCTCCCGATATTCGGTATTCTGATGATTATAGCGACATTATTTACCGGAATTGTTTCAAATTTGGTATTTGAAGTTCGTAATAGATACTAGAGCCTAAGACAGAAAATTGTCTGTGAAGGTCTCCGTCTTTGTATAGCCCCCATATAAAGGTACCTCCCGATATTCGCCGATTTTTTTAAGTTTCGCATTTGAATATTGTAATGGCTTATGACAAAAGTTAACTATGCAGGTATATGTCGTCGTATAGACCCTAATATAAAAGCCACATTCGGTACTTTTTAAGATTTAAACAGAATTTTTAACGGATTTTATTGTTTTTGAGAATTGCCAAATTCGTTTCAAATGATGAAGGGTATTCAAAGTTCGGCCCGGCCGAACTTACTGCTTTTTTACTTGTTTGATATTCATGAAGCTCATAAAACGTGAAATTAGCATCCGATTCCATTCAGACTTGGTACATTTGAATATTTGTATTAACACAAGATCTCTTATAAATATGATAGATATCGAACCGTTGCTTCAGGTACCTCCACAAAGTGTCAATATTTTAAAAAAACAAAACGATCATAAAATCCGAAATAAGCATCCGGTTCTCTTCATATTTCACACATCTCAAAATTTTCGATAAAACAAAATCTGTTATGAAGATCGTAGAGATCGGACCATTTCGTCTGGTACCTTCCCCGCAAAGGGTCAATATTAAAAAAAAAAAAAAAAACAAACGATCATAAAATTCGAAATAAGCATCCGGTTTTCCTCAAACTGCGCACATCCCATTATTTCTACGCTGTAAATATGGGATATATCGGCGCACTCCTTTTACCTCCACCGCATTGGGTCCAAGATTTTTAAAAACAAAACGCTAAACATTTATGTCTTACTTATTTAGGTCCGATACGAAATGGAAAATATTGCCCAACTCCTTCGGAACCTATTACATAAAGGGTCAACTGTTTGAAGACAGAAGTCAAAATATTTTTAAATAATCGCTGTCGGCAAAACCGATTGATACTTTTTAACTTGTTTTTTTTTTTTTTGTCATTTTCCTATAAATTTTTCAATTTTGACCCCATCAAAGGGGGAATGATTTAAGGAATTTTTTATAAAAATTATCTTTTTGAAAATTTAATTAATGAAATTGATTTTTTTCTTCTTTTTGCCTTTTCTAAAAGAAATAATAATTTTTGGTTTTTATGAAAGAAAGGTAATGACGGGGTAAAATTTCAAAAATTTTCCTTTTCGGATTTTTTTTCGATTTTTTTTAAGTTTAAATATCCTTTGCTTTTTCCACCACCCCGATTTTCTTTTGCCTTAAAGAAAAATCATCTTTTATTACCTTGTAAAAATAGTTTCTTGTTGGAACAATTTCTAAAATTTATTATTTGCGCTAAATTTGTATGGCAATTTGCAATCGTTTTATGGGGTGGTGATGGCAAAGCTCCAGCAGGCAGGCATTCAGCGTTTAACATTGAAGTTAATGAAGAGAAACAGCAAAAACAACTGCAAAAACTTTGCATTTCAAATTGAACACAGCTAGCTCGACATGCTAACATGAAAGGCGAAAAAATAAATTGCGAAAAAGGTTAAATTTAATACTAGGTTTTCAAAAGTTGTAAGGATGGAGGGCGGGCGGGGCGGCTACAAGTAGTAAGGATGGGCCGGGCCGTAATTGTTTGGCCAAATAGTTGGCTAACCGGAAATGTTGCTCAAGTGTATGAAGGCATGTATGTGTTGAAGTACGTTTTTGAGTTCTACATTTATTCCTTTTGTTTCTATTGCCAGCCATAGGCCATAAATTTAGCCAAATTTAAATTGAAATGGGGAGAGAAAAGCCTCTACTTAAGCAGCATAAATATCCTTGGCAAATTATGGGTTAATTTTTCAATTTTGCAAGGCAATTAGGCCAAAGATAAATTGAAATTTTATGAAATGTATGATTAGGATACTAATATTCAACTAAAAAATGGTGGAAAAAAATTCAATTTTTAAAATCCTAGAAATTCTCATAAAACTGTGCAACACAAAAAAAAATAATTGTAGGAAAATTCCGGCAGATTATTGGAGAATTGCTAAAAATAGATGACACGTGTATCGGGGTTTTGAAAGAACCCAAAATAGAAAAGGGAAAGTTGGTCCACCACCACTTTAATGTTTTTTTTTGTTTTTGGAAAATTTCTGTTTAAGATTCATTAGAACCCTTAAATTTTAGGCACATAGTTTCTTCTTTCCTCTTTCTATCAATGATAAAAACACGAGAATTATTTTGGTGAAGAATGTTAATCAGTCAGTTTTTTTTTTTTTTTCAAAATATGGTTAAAACTCCCTTTAAATGGGATCCTAGCAAATCAAAATATTCCGAATTATTTCTCATAAAATTCTACTATAGGTCCTAGAAGACATCTAAAGGCTAAATCTTACCCGAATGCCAGGAATTTAAAAATATTAAAATCATATTTTAAGGTTTAGGTCGTACTCTGTTCGTGCTGATGCAAAAATCTCCCACAAAACATCGTTGTAGAAGAATGACGCCAAAGCCGAAAATATTCCTGATTTTTTTAGACCCAAGAAATTCTCTCGATCGTATTTTTTATTTTATTAAAGTTCAAAATTTTAGAAGTTTTCTTTTCTTTTTGGACTTTTCAATTCTTATCATTTCCCCCCAAGATTTTCCTAATTTTTTTTTAATTTCCCCAAGGCATTCATTACCAATCCAAACAAATGTATTGAAAACACAAAGTGTACTAGAGAAAAAAAAAAAAACAATAAAAATACACAATATTGAAAGACTGAAAAAAATTCAATTTTAAAAATAAACAACAACAAAAAAGAAAGAACAAACAAATTCCAAAACCAAAAATAACCCATTCTCCCGCAACAAAGAAAAAAGTGCATAGCAACCAAACCAAATAAAGTCTTCCCCCAAACAATTATTACCAAAAAAAAAAAACTTAATAAAAATAAAACAACACAAAGCTTTGCATGGGTCCATCACAGAAAACCCTCGAGAAAAACAAAAAAAAAAAACATAAATAAAAAATCCAGAATTTTTGATTCTGAAAATAAAACGCACAAGAGAACAACAAAAAAACTGTGAAAAATACCAATCAACATTGATGCAAAGTGAGCTGCAACATTTTCTTCGCTTGGAAACATTATTGCCAGCAACATGTTGACATAGAACTGCAAATGTATTTTAACTCCCAGCTTTTAACTACGTTAACATAAGGAGAGAAAGAGAACAATAGTTATCTCACAACATCCGAGGAGAGAGGGAGAGAGCCTAATTCCTCAAAACTAAATGTTGTTAATAATTTTGGCATTTCTCATGAAAATCAGTGACATTTCCAAAATGCACGGCAAACGATTTATGTTAAACAATGCCAACGGCAACCACAACAACAGCAATCACAACAATTCAAATACCAATACCAACAACGGCAACATGTCGCACAAACACAAATGGCAACACATTGTTGCCGGTGGCAAAACCTCAACAAATCACAACAACAACAATTCAAACTCCAGTAGTACCAGCAGTGGTTGTGACAGTGCCGCCTCCTCACAATCGACCAATTCCTCTTCCAAAGAGAACAACTATCATCACCAACAACACCAGGAACATTTACAAAATGTCTCCTTGACACCTCAGCAATTGCAAAAATTGCGTTACTATCATCAGCTGCAGCAGCAACAATTGCAGCTGTTGCAACAACAATTGATACAACGGAAACGTTTGCAACAACAACTGCGCGAACAAGGAGTTGAAATATCCTCCAAAGCCTCGGGGAAAACAACCACCCCAGCCTTGACTTGCAACCAACAATATTTGCGACAAATGCGTCAGCAACAACAAATTTATCAGGTTATGAGACCTGAACAACACCAACAGCAACGTTTTCAAAAACCCCAACAACTGGACAACTATATGTTCCACAATAAAAATATCAATGATATTTTAAATAATAATAACAACAACATTACAACCAATGATTATTATCTACAACAACAACAACAAATGCAACAATTAAATGATGGCCAACAGCAACCTAATGCCATGCATTTTAAAGGTGGGATTTAGTTGTAACATTTAATGTTTTATTATTTTAAGGTACCCCTAACCTTATGACTTTAGAAGATTTATATCAATTTAATGTTTTATAAGAATTACAGGAAGAATCCAGCAGATTATGAAAATAGATCTGAAAAGAGAAGAAGAGAAGTATCGGAGTTTTTAAAGTAAAAAGCGCAAAGTAACCTAAATCGAGGGGGCAAGTTCCCAACTCCTCCACATTTTTTTAAATTTTCGGATTAAGATTCCTTCGAATCCGTTAATTTTAGGTATATAGTGTCTTTGGGAATATTATAGATAATATGACGAGTATTATATCACTCCAAAACTTTAACCCTCGGGCGAGAAAAAAGGGGTCTTTTTGGTCCTTTTCTGAAAATATGGTTAAATGGGATCGTAGCGAGACAAAATATTTTACAAAATTAGTTTTCATAAAATTCTACGATAGGTTCTGGAAGATATCAAAAGGCTAAATCTTACCTAAACGCTAGAAACTCAAAAATATTAAAAACAAAAACATTTTATAGTTAAAACGGTACTTTATCTCCAACAAAGCCTCCTTTCAGAAGAATGACGTCAAAGATAAAAATATTCCTCATCAAATTTCACTATAAGTCTCCAAAGGAATAATATCTCTATTTCCACCGCATAACAAAAAAAAAAAAAAAAACAAAAATATTTCCTAATTTTTTAATATTTTTTTCTCGAAATTCGAGGAAAAATTGATCAAAAACTAGGGAATATTTTTCGTGAACACCTGTGTAAGTAGTTTTTGATATACGGTGGAAATAGAGATTTCTTTTCCGTGGTGACATATAGTGAAATTTGATGAGGAATATTTTTGTCTTTGACGCTATTCTTCTAAAATTATGCTTTGTTGGAGATTTTTGCGCAAATTACTGCTTTAACCCTAAGATGTGTTTTCCAATATATATAAATTTCTGATTTCTAGGTAAGATTTAGACTCTTGACGTCTTCTAGTACCTATAGTAGAATGGTATGACAAATAATTTTGTAGAATATTTTGACCTGCTACGATCCCGTTTAAAGGGAGTTTTTAACCATATTTAAAAAAAAAGGACAAAAATGACCCCTAGGTTTACTCGTCCGAAGGGTAAAATTTTTGATCTAAATAATCTTCATCCTATTGTCTGCAATATTGTCGAAGACACTATATGTGCCTAAAATGTAAGGATTCCGAGGATTTTTTTTTTTCGAAAATTTCAAAAATGTGGAAGATGCGGGGACGTGCCCCCTCTATTTTGGTTACTTTGCTATGTAAACTTGATAAACGCCGATAAAAGTGTCTTCTATTTTTAGCTCTATTCTGAGAATCAGCTGGATTTCCCGGCAATTTTTTTCCTGAAAACATCATTGATCATTTTTTAAAATATCATCATTTTTTTAAAATATTTCTAATAAATCCCTTAAAGTCGTGGATTTTTTTAATATCTCCAAGGAACGCCTAAAAATCTTCGAATGTTCAAATATATTTAAGAAAGTCCTTAAAACATCAAAGGTAACCTAATCTGAAATTCTCGGAAAATGTGTCAGAGGTGGGAACTTGACCCCCTCCCTTATAGAGATTACTTTGCGACGTAAACTTTCTCCCCATATTCGGTATTTTGATGATTTTAGCGGCATTATTCAACGGAATTGTTTAAAATTTGGTATTTGAAGTTCGTAATATATACTACAGCCTAAGACTGAAAATTGTCTGTTCGGGTCCACGTCTTCGTATAGCCCCCATATAACGGTACCTTCCGATATTCGGTATTTTGATGATTTTAGCGACATTATTCAACGGAATTGTTTAAAATTTGGTATTTGAAGTTCGTAATGGATAGTACAGCCTAAGACAGAAAATTGTCTGTTCAAGTCCACGTCTTCGTATAGCCCCCATATAACGATACCTCCCGATGTTCGGTATTTTGATGATTTTAGCGACATTATTTAACGGAATTTTTTCAAATTTGGTATTTGAAGTTCGTAAAGGATACTACAGCCTAAGACAGAAAATTGTCTGTTCAGGTCCACGTCTTCGTATAGCCCCCATATAAAGGTACCTCCCGATATTCGGTATTTTAATGATTTCATCACCGGAACTGCTTAAAATTTGGTATTTAAAGTTCGTAATGGATACTATAGCCTAAGACAGAAAATTGTCTATGCTAGTCCAGGTCTTCGTATAGGCCCCATACATCAGTACCTCCCTATATTCGGTATTTGGAAGAGTTTAGGTACAATATCCACCAAAATTGTTTGAGACGCGTATTTGAAGTTCCTAATGTATGCTACAGCCTATGGCAGAATATTGTCTATGCTGGTTCAGGTCTTCGCACAGCTCTGATATAACGCTACCTTCCCATATAAGATATTTTGATGATTATTGTTATTGATGGCTATTTATTTTAAGTTTATTTGAAGTTTCGAATTTGAATATGGTAATGGCTTATGAGAAACAATGCCCATGTAGGTCCACGTCGTATAGACACCAAAATAGTGGCAATATTCTGTACTTTTAAAATTTTAACAGAATTTTTTAAGGATTTTATTTTTCAAATTCATTCCAAATGGTGGAGGGTATTCAAAGTTCGGCCCGGCCGAACTTACAGCTTTTTTACTTGTTTTTCCTGAAGAAATTATTGATTTTTTTAAAATCCCTTAAAGTCGTGGATTTTTTTTAATATCACCAAGGATGGCCTTAAAATCGTAGATTGTTCAAATATATTTAAGAAAAATCCTTAAAATATTCAAGGAGTCCTAATCTGAAATTTTCGAAAAATGTGTCAGAGGTGGGAACTTGACCCCTCCCGTAAAGAGATTACTTTGCGACGTAAACTTTCTAAACACAAATACACATGTCTTGTATTTTTAGCTCTATTTTGAGAATCTGCTGGGTTTTCCGTTTTTTTTTTTTTAATTTTTTTTTAATATTACTAATTGAAAATCGTGGATTTCCAAAAAAATTCTCAAGGATACCCTAAAAATCGTAGATTGTTCAAATATATTTAAGAAAATCCTTTAAACATTCAAATTTTTTAAAACATTTTTTCAATGACCTTCTGATATTATTTTCATGTATTTTATATAAAACTTCCCAGATATGAAGTCAAAGTCTTTCCAAAATAGGAATAAATCTGTTTTTTTTTTTTTTTTTGAATATTTTGCACCGTGTTTTTGGGACAAAATTCTTGGAAATTTAAAAAGAATTTTCAAGAACTTCTGCAGACAATATGGATTTCGTAATAGGTTTTCAAAGGACCTTTACAAAGATCTCCTGAAAAATACCTATTTTTTGTAAATACTTTGATACGCACAAAATGTCGTTCATAAAAAAAATAAATAAAAGTGAAAATGGACAACATCGGCCCAATTCTCCTGGTTTCTCACCCCCAATGTATTTAATAGGTTTAATTTCCATAGAATTCCAGGGTCTAATTTTTATGTATTCTATTATGCACTCAAATTGTATTGAAAAGCTAATTGATGTCCATTGATTTTATACCAATGAGCAGGTCCGTCCATTGATGCAATTTCTAATGCAAAAGCGAAATTTGAAGAAAAATCAGGAAGGCGTCTCTCAGGCGTTCGTTAACCCACCAAAAATAATCTCAGTGACATTGGCCTTATTTTTATTCGTGATTTTTGTTTTTCATTTACAAAACTTTTTTACTTCTTGTAAATATAGACTTTGGACTTTAGACTTCAATAAAGACGCTAGAATAATCTTCCCCAAAATCCACATCTAAAATTCTCATTTTGATTAGCTGTGTAAATGTTCTGGCAACCAAGTGTATGGCAAAACTGCAAAATGAAAATGCATATTCACCTTGAATTTAACGAGCCAACACAATTTCGTTGATGAGTTGAAAACAGCGGCAATAAAACGCAACTATATTTTTGGTTTGGGTGGGATGTTTTTGGGTTTTGGCCAAAATTCAGTTTAATAATATTATTTTGGGTTGTGGGTTTTAATTTCTAAAGAGAAACAAAAATAAACACATACATACATATAGAAATAATTAGAATAATGTATATTATCAGTGTTTGGTCGTCATAAAAATTTATCTATTATTTTGAAATGAAAACAAAAATCCGACAAGTAATAACACCGGGTGATTTTTGTTTTGGGAATTTTCCTATCATTTGCAAAAAGATCTATAGTTAATGAGAATTATTGAGTGATGGATAAGGAAACCCATTTTTCTAATGACATTTTTTTTGGCTTGAGGCATCCAAGAGGTGACATAACCTAACATAATAGGGGATTTGTAGATATTTCCTTAAAATTTCCAAAATTATTATGCAGCTTTAATACATTTCTTTATTTAATATTGAAAAGAATAATAATAATAATGGCTTTTCGAATTGTTTTAATTACTCTTCAATTGCTTCCTTAAAATATTGTCATTGTATGTCCACCTGGATATAAAACGGTTTATCTTTTTTCATGCATATTTACATGGAATTAAATGTTATTAATTCAACAAAGAATGCGAGTTACAATGAATTTCAGCTCATTAAAGCCCACATTCGCAGTGTATTTATTTAAATATTTGGCAGTAAGAACACTGTGCAACACAAAAAAAAAAAAAAAAAAAATAAAAAAATACAGAGAAATAAAAAAACTGCATCAAAAACAAAAGCTATTATATGGGGGCTATACAAGGACGTGGACCTGCACAGACAATTTTCTGTCTTAGGCTGTGGTATCCAATATCAATATGGGAACCGATCTGGACAAAAATGTATACACTTATTTCTGAGCAGTATCTGATGTCCGGTATAAAATATCATTGTTGTAGAGTACATATAAAGCATGTAGGGGACTTAAAACCCCAAATCTGATGAAACATACAGGGTGAGATAAAACAAGGAAAAAAAACATTAGGTTTGGCCGGGCCGAACTTTTAATTCCCTCAACCTTAGGGTAAAGGAAAAATTATAACCCCACCCACAAATACCAATTTTTAGAAATATTCGTGGGAAAATGTG